CGCTGGCTCTAGGACGGGAAAGGTATCCCTCGTGACTTCGACGGCAGCCTCGAAGTCGAACACGCCATGTGAATTGAGGCGCCTGTCGCACACAGTGCTCGCTACAACCCGCACAGCATGCGGTTGGCCTAGCCATGGCTGCATCGCCAGCCCTCCTAAAGAACCAAAAACATACTCAACGCCTGACTTGAGCCTAAGTGTCAGCGTAGTCCTGTTCCTCATTGTGGCCCGAGCTTCTCCACTGTGTTAACAAAAACAAAAAGGATCAGAGCAAAACATATCTGCCAGCCCCCTTGGGGGCGCAAGGCTGTCAAGGACCCTGCTGAACTGCTCTCTTGTTGTCTCTGTTATGTTTTCTGTGCATTGCCGACTGCCTCGAGAAGACATTATAGAGAGAGAGAGAGAGCGGAAGAAAGAAGACAGAGGAGAGAAGAGAGAGGCAATCCTCGTGCGCTCGTGCCGAGGACGGCACCCTGCCCTTCCCATACAGCCCGTCTCACGGCGCCAAACTCTTACATCCGTCGAGCGAGGTGCCCTGGACCGCCTCGATCCCCGAATGGCAGGTGCAGGACGGTACCCAGAGCTCGATGTACCATCGGCGAGGGGGGGCCTGTGGAGGGGGAGAAGCAGCAGCAGAGGGGAGGCGGAGGAGGGGAGCAAGGAGGGGCGAGGGCAACGACGAAAAAAGGAACTGGATCCAAAAGCGCGGCACGCCCTCGGGCCAGAGCGCCACTCGGAACGACGGGAGCAGGGTGCCGATCCTCTGATGTGGCCAGCTGCAGGGGAATGGTACATCGGGGATGGGCAGGGCCCCCCATAGTAAAACGTGGTTGAGTGAAAACGACCTCGGGCCCAAACCTGGCTTGCGCCAGCCTGGAAAATGACGGCCGCGGCGCCCTCTCGAGAACCGAAAACGGACAATTCACCAATCGACGTGTCGGGGTGGGGGTTCTGTCCACCCCCGAAACGACAGGGGGGCTGGCTCGGGGGGAATCGTCGACCTGGAATCGGTGAAACCTCGCCGACAGACCGGCGACAGGACCCCGGCATCGGCACCGCACGCTCCTGGGCGGGGTGGTGGGCGCCCGGGCCCCCGTGTCGGCGATCCATGGGCAAAATTGGCTGTCGATGCGCTCCCCCTCTGAGCTCAGGTCGGGCATGTCCCCCTACAGGCGGATTTTGGACGAAAACTGAAAAATAATCCAAAACTACCCCAGAATAGTCAAAAATCTAGTTTCTTTACTATCCTTGAATATTACTCCTGTAGGGGGACAGGCCCGCGTTAACCCTGACCCTGTCCCCCCCCTAACGTTGCCCCCGTGAACCGCTGCAGCCGGAGCGCCATTTTGAAGGACCGACTGCGCTCCGATTGGAGAGCACGGGGGACGGGTCAAGACCCGCAAGTTGCCGGCGGATAGAGGACACGAGTAGTCAACACCAGTCATTGTGGGAAAAAAGACGCTCTCGTCGCCGTTCTCCTCCTTCCTCCTCGCTCCTCCTCGCTCCTCCTCCTCCTCCTCCTCCTCGCTCCTCCTCGCTCCTCCTCGCTTCTCCTCCTCCTCCTCCTCCTCCTCCTCCTCCTCCTCCTCCTCCTCCTCCTCCTCCTGCTCCTCCTCCTCCTCCTGTGGGAAAAAAGACGTGTGAGAAACATGGAGAAGGACCTGACAAAAGAGAGATAGAGAGAGAGAGAGAGAGCACATTCCGAAGGGGGAGGGGAGAGGAGAGACCACAGGGGAGGATAGCAAAGAGGAGAGAGAAGGGAACACTGGAGCCATACGCCGTCCGGACCGGAAAAGTCGGACTCCAAGCATGCACAGCCAATACGCCTGCGCAGCACGGCACAGGGAGGAGGAGAAAGGCGAAATAAAAAGAGCCCCGGGCGCTGCACGTGCAGTGTGGCGCCATCCGCCCCGGTGCGCCAGGGCCGAGCTCCAAATATAGAGAGAAGAGATATAACGAGCGATACCAGGCACACCGAGGACTGAGGAGAGAGCAGCAAAAAAAGGCTGGTTCATGGAAAGTCAGGGAAGGGAGGCAGGGAAGGGTACCCACTAAAACGACTAAGAAGATCAGGTAGTCCAGGCTTGGTGGGACAAATTCTCTGAGGAAAACACCTACGCATTCAAACCACGCCTGCCTGCTGGTCCTCTTCTCTGGTTTGGTCAGCGGTCATCCCACCATGACAGCCTGAAGCCGTAAACAAATCACGGCCAGAGCACCCGATCCGACCCCAATGGACAACGTCCGCGGCGATACCAACAGCGAGTCCTGTTCGAAGCAGACGGGGCCCGAAGCTGTGCAAAAACGCCCACAGTGACTTCTTCGCGGCGTCCAGGGGTCTGCGGGGCACGAGCCCGCACGACTCGACTCTGCTCGCGCCGCCCGGCCCTCGGAGCTCTCGACCCCCAGAGCTCGAAATCCGAGCCTGCTCGGCGTCTGAGCCCACTCGGCTACCGAGCGGACCGCTCGGCAGCCGCGTGGACCGACTTTCCACCGACCTCTTGAAGTTGAGGCCGTCCTGCTGCCCCCTCGGCGACCACACGGGCCTGGGCGCCGAACGAAGACCACCTTTCCCGGGGCCGCCCTTCGTTCCTTCCTGGCCAGCTCTTCGACATTTCAGGAGGCCTGCCCCCAGAGGCCGAAAATGGTCAAGGCCTTCAGCGCGACTTTGCCGCGTGGCCACAAAAGGCACAGGCGGGAGAAATCTGCTCGGAGCCACCCCTCCGGCCTGTCGGTCCGCAACTGTGCCCGGGTGCAACGGCAGCGACGCGGCCGTGCTCGGGGAGCCCGGGTTGAAGTCGCTGTCGTCGAGCGCGCCTGCGGCGGGGAACTCCGCTCCAGGCGTGCCCCCCTCTGCTTCCAGACTTCGGCACGCCTACCCCCCCCACACACAACAAAAAAACGCGACCAAAGATTTCCGCCGCGTTCAGTTTGCAGGGACCAGCTTCTGGGCCCCGAAAACAGAAGAGCCCAGAATCGAATCGATAAGTCGTATCGGCGATCGAAATGAGTCGGATCGGCGGAAATCGGCAGCCGAGTCGGGAAACGTCGAATCGACAGAAATCGGCAGGCCAGTAGGCCTCCGTTGAGAAATCGGAGCTCAAGTCGGAATCCGAAATCGAATCGACTCGGAATCGGAAGCCACCGAGATCGAACCGAACCGAATCGGAGGAATCGAAGCGAGCCCTGCGAAAACCGTGGAAGAGCGCCCCGCTGTGAAAAAAGAGCCCCGGGGAGTGGGTCGCGAAAAAGTCTGGGGGGCCACATCACGAAAGAGGCAGTCCGCCAGAGGTCTGCTACCCGCCCGCACGGGGGCCCCGGGGGCTCCGTCGGCCGAGGCTCCCGCAGGCGCGCCCTCCGCAGTGCCACGAGCAGCCCGCGATCGGCCACGATGCCACGAGAGGAAGGCCGACTCTCATCGCCCTGGCGAACGAGGCAGGAGGAGGAGGGAGAGGAAGCGGAGGAAGCGGAGGAAGCGGAGGAGGAGGAGCAGGAGCAGGAGGAGGAGGAGAACGAGCAGGAGGAGGAGGAGGAGGAGGAGGAGGAGGAGAAGGAACAGGAGCGAGGAGCAGGAGGAACAGGAGGAGCAGGAGGAGGAGGAGGCGGAGCCCTGCCGCTGTCAGCACCGCCGATTCGATTCGACTGCCTCCGCCCTCCCCTCCCCACCCGCTCACCCCCCTCCCGCGGAGGACGCCGACGTCCCGTCTCACACCACTCGGGCTCAGGGTCGCCAGATGCGCCCTCCTGGCCCAGCCGGGACGACGACGACGACGACGACGACGACGACGACGACGACAAACACGACGACGACGACGACGACGACGACGACGACGACGACGACGACGACAAACACGACGACGACGACGACGACGACGACGACGACAAACACGACGACGACGACGACGACGACGACGACGACGACGACGACGACGACGACGACAAACACGACGACGACGACGACGACGACGACGACGACGACGACGACGACGACGACGACGACGACGACGGCGGTGCTAGCGACGACCGCGGCGACGACGACGACGGTGCCGACGACGCGACGACGGAGGGCGCAGGAGAGGTGGTCGTTCGGCGCGCGCGCGCGCGAGGCGGCCGCGCAGCGGGGCCTCGGAGCGGGCTCCTCGTCCGCCGCAGCGCGAGACCGACGAGAAGAGGCGGGGCGGAGCGCGACGAGGCCGGCCGACGATCGGGGGGGTTGAAAGGGGGGTATAGCAAAGGGTAGGGTAGAAAATCAGCTCACGTGGCTGATTCTCCCAGCGCCTCCCGGCGCTGGGAGGCGCCCATGTATCCAGGAATGGGCCCGTCGGCGGGGCCGAAACCAGCTGCATGCAGCAGATTTCGTAACCCCCCCTTTCCCTGTCCCCCCCTTTCGTTCGGCCCGAGACGAGAGAGGTCAGGGGGCCGTCATCCGAGCGATGAAAAGAGAAGGGTTTTGCGCACGATGACATAGCGGCCGTGCGCGGGGGCCTCCGCGAGCCACCAGCGCGGCACGCCACTCACGATACGACTGCAACTTCGCGCGTCATTGCGCAGGCAACTTACGCGCGAACGTCCGCGCTGTTGAACCCGTTTTCAAGCGCCGCTCAACTGTGAACTGCACGCGAGCGTGACCTTTGGTGCGCGATTTGCCGATCGCTGAATGCGTTGCGACAACGAGTGTTTGCGACGCTACTTGTGTTTCACCCGCTTCGGCGCCCCCCCACCACCGAAAGCCGCGCCCCAACGGCCACTCTGGCGGAGGATCCGTCTGGCATGCAGCCGACAGCTGCCCACCTCACCGATCATGCCCGAAGCCATCCTGGGCCCAGGATGGGCGTACACGCCTCCCTGGGCGTGTACGCTGACCCTGAGCCCGGGATGGGCCCGGGATGGGCCGGGGAGGACGGACCCAAACGAGGGACCGCGACGAGCTCGCCGAAGTGGATGGACGAGAGCGGCGGGAGAAGGAGGGGCCCCAGGTTACGGCAGGGGGCCGAACCGAC